GCAAGTGAGATTTATTGTCCCTTTGCCTTAGCATAGACACTCTGGGTCCTCCACACAGCAATGGAGAACATCATCTGACTGTGGTTTTGAAGTGGTGTCATTTAGTACAGCAGGACTACTTCAAGTAAAGACTCTGCCTGTAGAGTACTTGGCTACTCTGCTTCAGTCCACAGGCAACAGTGCCTTAGCCCCTTCCCTTGTGATACCTCTTCAGGCTAAACTGGGTACCAGTAGAGCACAGAGAAACGTAACAGAGCAACTGAATATGAACATTTCCTTTTTCCTTTCATTCAAACAGGCTTTACTGAGCACGCAGAATAAGCTGAGAACTTTAGTCCCAAATTTCACCTTCAACCTGGGCTTCTCAGGGAAATTCTACCACACAGGTAAGCCCCTGGCCCCCCTTCATCCCAGTGCCTGCGTACGGCCCCCTTGTTCGTGTGTGCAAGACATTAGAGAGAGCATGATTCTCTGTTGGAACGACTCAGCGTTGCAGGGGATTAGCCACTGCTTTGAAACATTGAGCCCCTCTTCTGCCTTTTGGGTTTTTTAATTTTTCTTTTCTGCACTCTGTAGGTACAGATGAGGAAGATGAAGGGGATGACATGCTGCTGAAACACAGGAAGGAGTTCTGGTGGTTCCCTCACATGTGGAGTCACATGCAGCCTCATCTTTTCCACAATGTCACTGTGCTGGCTGAGCAGATGAAGCTCAACAAACAGTTTGCTGTGGTAAGGGGCATCACAGTTTATTTGCTTTACAGTACTAATCCTTAAACATTCTCCTGGAATAGCTGTTCAGAACCGGCGGTACCCAAATACTGCTAGTCTAGTAACTCAGCTGCATTTAAGAAAGGCATTTCTGAAAGTTTGGGTTGCTGCATGACTCCTGCTGTCTTCAGGCAAGAAACACCATTTGTGTGCCTGCCTGTGCAATGGGAAACGTTTCCTGGCACCTGCATGGCCCCAGGCAGCTCCGCTGCAGTTCCAGGGTGCAAATCCCAAGGCTCTTATATGCTGCAGTGTGAACTTGTAGCATTACCATCCAAATCCAATTAATTTACAAACTCTGGCAGTTAGAAAGTACTTCCTTTTCCATCCTTACTCACTGTGGTTTTGTAAGTCACCTGGTCGGTAGTGTAAAATGCTGTGTGTGTGCTAGCAGCCCTACTTCTGGCCTTCCCGGGCGGTGCTGAGGGAAGTTACTTATCTCGGAAGTCCAGGGGAAATTCCCTGGGTTTTGGCAGGGGAGGGGGAAGGCTTGAACATCCTGCATTGCTGGAACAATGTCTGTTTGATGCTTACAGCCCAGAGTTCAATATAGCAGACATGTTTCTCTGAAAAGAAATGTCCTCTTCACCTCTAGTTTGGTTCTTTTGATGGTAATCCCCTTGGGAATAGCAGGCTGCTGTCTTCTGTTCCCATGACACACAGAGATTAGGAATGATCTTGAATTCAGAGCACAGTTGCAGCATTATAGAAACAATTTAGACTCCTTCTTCTTGTGGTTAAATAACAGTGCAGTCTTTTGCAAAGAGAGACAAAGCACAGAGCACAGTTACATGTATTTAATGTAGAACAGGCTAACAGTGGGAAGGAGCAGGTTGTTACTTCATTTAGGAGCTCTAGTTTTATTGTACACCACTAGTCCAGAGCTGTCATCATTCATATTGTTACCAGAACTGCATGGTGGAATTAAAACCCATGAAATTCAGATATTTCCTGTTATTTTAGTATAGCTCCAGGCTTCATAGCTTCACCCTCAACAGTCTCTTGCTTAATGTCTGTTTTTCTTTGAATTGCTAGAGACAAGACAGAGCCTGGTCATCACCTTCCTTTCCTTCTATATCAGTTAAGGAAACTTTATTTTCCTCCTCTAGTGACTCAGATCTAAGCATTGTGGGAGTGAGATGTGAAACTTAACAGGATTGATTAGTTTGTAGTGACCAAGGAGCCTGACCGGAGGCTTGTGAATTAATCTGATTTGTCACACCTGCAAGCTACAAGACCATTCTTAAAGCAGCTGTTACCAGTTCTGAACGTCCTTGTTGATACAGAATCACCCTTATATTTCCATAGATCCATAAAATAAGAAGAACAAGCAATATTTCAGGTTTCATTTCGGGTTTCTCAATGCAGAGTTTTTATTTTACTCAGTCACCTTGCTCCAACTTCGAGTCTATTGCTAAATATGATCCTTATTAAGGGTATTAGTTAAATACTGAATGATCAAGCTGCATATTCTGCTTCCAGGAGCATGGGATTCCCACAGACTTGGGCTATGCTGTAGCCCCCCATCATTCTGGGGTTTATCCAGTCCACACGCAACTCTATGAGGCGTGGAAATCTGTCTGGAGCATCCAGGTAACGAGCACAGAGGAGTACCCACACCTACGGCCTGCCCGGTATCGGCGTGGATTCATCCATAATGGAATCATGGTGAGCACAGCCAGGCAAGCAGACCCCACTTTCCTGCCCAAGGAATCTGAGACATTAACCTTTTAATATCACCAGTGTTTCCAAAATCATTCAGTCAAGCAAAGAGGCTTGACTAAAGCCAGTTGCTGTGTTTCTCAGTACAGTTCAGAGGTCAGTACTGAACAGAGGAGATCACCAGTGCTTCCAAAATCATTCAGTCAAGCAAAGAGAAGAGGCTTGACTAAAGCCAGTTGCTGTGTTTCTCAGTACAGTTCAGAGGTCAGTACTGAACAGAGGAGAGCAAAACCAAGCACCACAAGACTAAATTGAGATCTTGCTGACTTGTTTGCGTTGTGATGAGTAAATGATTTGGAGGAACATAGAGTCCTCTGAACCTATGTCGCTTGTGTCCCTTAACTTTTTATATTGATCCACAGAGTGCTGCTTCAACACATTCATGTGTAGATTCTGCTGCATCTGCCTTTTATCTAACTTTGCTTTTCTCTGATATTGCCAGGTTCTGCCTCGACAGACCTGTGGTCTTTTTACTCACACTATCTTCTATAATGAATATCCCGGAGGTTCAAAGGAATTGGACAAGAGCATTCGTGGTGGTGAACTCTTCCTGACGGTGCTCCTGAACCCAGTAAGCTCATCTGAAAGGGGAATTGGTGCATGGGTGTCACAACTTATGTACCTGATGTGGGAAAGGAGTAGATCTTATGGGTGATTCAGTATAACCACCCATGATGGTGTGGGTGTCTCCAGTGTGATGCTAAGGAGATGTGAAAAAGGGAGCCAAGGAAGCACTTGCAAGTTAATGCTGCCTTGCTTTAAACACTGCCAAGGAAGCATCAGTATTGAGTGTTGACAAGTGCAGCACTTGCAGATAGAAGCTAGCCAGGGTGATATGCCAAGCATGGCTCAACACAGAGTGAGTGTTACCTAGGCTGCTGTATCCTCAGGAATCAGGAGTGAGATGTGCCTCAGCTCCTTCTGCTCCATGCACATCTGCTGCCTGTTGGCTTCTCCCCTGCCTCGCTGATGAGTTTTGTTCAGAATAATTGCTTTCTCTGGGTTTTTGCTATGGAGTGTTCTTCCCTTTCTTTCAATATGTACACACTTGAAACAATTTCTCCTTGCTTTTTTTTGTGATGTATATGCCACCCTAAGGTATTTTTGGGAGATCTGGGTCTGACACAGGTGTTTCCCTATTAAGACTTCTCAGTTCCATCAAGCCATCAGGCTAATGTAGCACCTTCATCACCCTGCAGTCCCATCCCAGTTCTTAGCCATGAATGGCAAATCACATGAGTTTCTTGCTTCCTATTGAAGCTGTGAAGATACACTAGGCGGCAAGAGATATAAAAAAAGAAGGGCATCATTTTAGAAAATCCTGAATGGATAGAATCTGCTCTCATGAGACCCCACTTGGAGTACTTCTGGGGCTCCCAGCATAAGAAAGACATGGACCTGCTGGAGCAGAGGAGGGCCATGAAGATGATCAGGGGGCTGGAGCAGCTCCCCTACAAGGCCAGGCTGAGAGAGTTGGGGTTGTTTGGCCTGGAGAAGAAAAGGCTCTGGGGAGACCTCATAGCAGCCTTCCAGTACTTAAAGGTGGCCTACAGGAAAGATGGGGAGGGACTCTATCAGGGAGTGCAGTGATAGGATGTGAGTGGTGATGACTTTAAACTGAGAGAGAATAGAGTTCGATTAGATATAAGGAAAAAATTCTTTACTGTGAGGGTGGTGAGACACTGGCACAGGTTGCCCAGGGAAGCTGTGGATGCCCCCTCCCTGGAGGTGTTCAAGGCCAGGTTGGACAGGGCTTTGGGCAACCTGGTCTAATGGGAGGTGTCCCTGCCCATGGCAGGGGGGTTGGACTGGATGATCTTTAAGGTCCCTTCCAGACCAAACCATTCTGTGATTCTGTGGTTATGATTCTATGAAATAGGAGAGGAAGCTTTGTAGCCCTCTCCAACAGCAGATCACACTCACTCGCATTCCCACTTGTTGGCTGCAGCAGGATGATGTGCTGCTCTTTTTGACTGCACAGTAACTTTCTCAGTTCCCCACCTGAACTTGTTTCTTACTAAAGCTGATTTGGCACCTGTTGTCTTCCCTTTCTCCAAATGGGCATTGCCCTGCCAGGTTTAGACGGTGATCTTAGAATATCTACTTCTGTAGCCACTCTTGAATATAATGGTGTTTAGTCTCTTCTTTTCTCACAGCTTTCAATTATCTACCTCCTTTCTTCTTTATACATCTTTTCCACCAGTGCCAGAGTATGGGCAAGAAGCCATGCAAGCAGAGCTGAGAAAAAGTAGTTTCTCACTGGCTTCCCAGGTGGGAATCCTGCAGTACTGGTCCCAGTCGTTGGGTACTTGTTTGTGGGATTTGCCATGTAACACCAGTGGCTCTGCTTACCATGGTGTTTTCTTTCATTCCCTCCTTTTGCAACTTGGTTGCAGGGTTCAAAATGCACTGTAGCTACTTTCAGTTTAGGCTGCAGAGGCTCAGTGAGTCAGAAAATGAAGCTTTTTCCCTCAATGAGCTTAATTTTTTCTTGTCTCTTGCTTTTCCTAGTGTTCAGTGCCTCTCTGCTCCTAGAAGTAGACCTGTGATAGTGAAAACACCCTTCCAATGTGCTCCGAGTGCATCACACAGACTGTAGTTTACAAACAGGACCTGTCTTTCTGAAGGTCACCCTGTCACCAGGCTCTGGCGTGGGGTATGGTCTGCAGAAGGTATGGGTCTGTAACAGCCCTAGCTGAAAAAGTGTAGGAGTTCATACTTCCAGGTCTGGAAACCAGCCTTCTGTCCCTCTCACCTGCGGCAGAATTGTTATCTTTACACGTGAAAATCTACCTGTGTGAGAAAAGTCTGTAGTAAGGAGAAGGCTATTCTTTGCATTACATATGAAGTGATCGGCTAGATGGAAATAAACTGCTTTCTTCTCTGTGACCATTGCTTTTCTGGGCTTCTCTTCCCATATGCTGGGTGAATTCCACGTTGTCCCACTTCATAGTCGTCAGATTTTAAAGAGTGGCTGCAGAAATAGCCACTGTGAAACTTAAGAGCTGGAGGTTTCTCTTGGAAATCCAGTTGCCAGACTGTAATCCAGAGGTCATTGCTGGTCTAGGAGGCCGTGCCAAGGAATTTGTAGAAACATACTTTCTAGAGCTACTCGTTAAAATGTGCTGGTAAGTGTGTGATAGTGGAAGCAGCTGGCAGTGATCTGTGATCCAAAAAGTTTGGGAAGATTGTGCTCTGCTACAGGATGAGCTACAGGATAAGCTACAGGATGAGCTTATTTGCCAGATTTACTGTTGTCTCTTTGTGGTGACTTTTGAAACTCTTTCACATTACTTCAGATGTTTACACTTTGCTTCCTTTTGGCAGTGGAGCATTCCTCTCTCTGTCAGCAGTGGAGTTCTGTGCTGTAAGCTCCTCTGCATTGCTTATGTTTGCACAGTGACTCAGACATTTGCATTCCTCCCCTCGCTGATAGAGCCATCTCACGGGCCTGAAAGAAAGCTGGCCAGCCCCACAGCCCCAGCAGTGATCCGTGGCAGACTTGGACCAGACTCTCTGAGTCCTTTTTGGTACTTCCAGCTCCCCTTGAGTGGATGTGTGCATGCAGGAGTCTCCAAGCCTGTGTGCCTATGATTAACTCCGCAGTGCAAACAGAAGATGTTTGATCTTCTGACTCGCGAACAAGGCCTGGTGTCGGGAGGAGAACAGCTGCTGGTGTTCAGCAGACAGGCTGACACGTGCCCAGTCACCGCTTCCAGAAGCAAAGGGCATCGTTATGATCCCTGCTCACAAACCCTTTTGCTCACACTGCGCAGGCAGGTTACTGCTGTGCCCACAGCTGCTTGTTATACATTGCAAGGATGCTCATACCCCCAGTTTTCTGTATTCTAGGCTCTCTAGGACCTTTCCTTTCATCTTTCCTCAGTGCAGAGGAAGGGAAGCCATGGCGTGCTGAGAGTGGAAGGGAGGGGGAGAGGAGGGAGGTGGTGTTACTAAGCCAGTTCCCTGGGTCACTGGGTGTGGGTGGGAGGGAGGGAGAGATGGGACTTGAGTGTAGCTTATGTCAGAAGTAGTGCTCAGAGCTGTTTTGGCAGCAGTAGCTGTGATGAGGCAGAGCGAGCTGCCAGGTCTTGTTACGCAGTGCACGTGTGTTACAGGACATGACTGCCTGCTCCGAAGTACAGGGAAATGGCTCACTGGTTGGGCTGGGCTTGGCTTCTCCTAAGTCCAGGTGTTTGGAACTCTTTGCAAGTGACAGCATTACTTGTGTGAGCCGTTTTACCAAGTGTGGTCAGTCTTGAGACACAGTTGCTAACCTGGGTCATGTGCAGGCTTTTTTTAATTCTGGAAATCTTGAAGGGGCCCCAGGTAGTGACCTGCGTCCTCCCTGCTGCAGTGTTTGGTTTATGCCAGTGAGCCAGGCACTTCATACAGCAAATTTTTCCTCTAAATGTTTCACTAGCAAGTCGAAGGGATGAGCCACCCTTTGCTGTCACACCACCTTCCTGGTGTCTCCCAGAAATGGGCAAAATACAATGTGAGATGCATCCTTTTGCTGCCTTATGTGCTCTGCAGTTACACAGAAGATCTTTCTGTTCTTTGCTGTGTTGTATTTAGCACATCCTTTTTACACAGCAGCACCAAGCACACGCTGCTGTTTGAAGTGTAGGTGCCAGAGCCAGTCTGGCAGGGTCTCTTTGTCAGCTCAGGAGGAAACCAGAAGTGAAAGAGTCACAGGCAGGCAAACGTGATAAATCTTGAACTCCACTTACTTTCCATGTGTCCCGGAGTCCTACAGCTGTTTTCTGTTGCCCACCCAAAGACCCTGGAGTGTGAGCACATTATGGACAGGATTAAATTAATTTCACAGTGTCTTGGGGATGGTTCACGCACAAAGAGACCAGTCCATGGTGACACTGGGCAGAAAACTGCATTCAGACCTCCTGAGTGCCAGCAAATGTCTTCATCCCAAAACCATCTGTCTCCTGCCTCCCCCTTTTGCTCTTCCCCTACTGTGAGTGGGGAAAGCCATTCCTGCCTCCTGCCAGGGAAGCCGGTTGTTGCCTGCTGACCTCACCTGGCACCGTCAGGATTCAGCCCTGAACTGTGCAGCAGCGGCTGCCCCTACTGTGGCTGAGGGCTCTTCCCCTCCCTGCACCAGCAGACACTGGGTGGGGAGCGCTAAATCATCCACGTTGTCATTCTTCCATTGGCCTTAGGGTTCTGTTTTTGTTTTGCTGACTTCTGGTGTGGTGTGGTTTGTGTCTGGCCAGTGCTGTTGTGTTGCAGGCACTGGGATGCGCAATTCCGTGGGACCTGTCAAAGTCACGCACCAGAGTCAAGCTGCAGCAGTCTTCTGCACTCTGTCCCCAAAGTTAAAATAGTGAAAAGCAGGCAGGAGGGAAATGTATCTGCTTGAGAGAACAGATGGCTTGGCAAGGCAGAGAAAGAGAAAGCACACGGGGTGGGGAGCTCCTATGGGTGCTCAGTGCCACTTTGCCCAAGGGTTTACTTTCTCAGGCTTGACAGGACATTTTTCAGGGGCTGCCTCTGCTGAAGGCTCTTGTGAGCTAAAACCTTATCAGCCGGTGTCTGTTCCTAGGACAGCGTCCTTGTGCAGCGTCTCCTTGCAGTCCATGTTCAGATCTCCGAGTACGCTTGTTTGTATTTTAACACGTGAATTGCCAGTTGTTCCTTTACACGTGAGGTGTCAACTACAGAGTGAATGAAAGCTGAAGGCCTAGAAATGGCTCCAGTGAAAACTGTCCCTTGTGCTGCTGTGCCCTGGCCTGCAGCCTGCTGCTGCCCCCTCCCTGGCCTGCTCCCCTGCTGGAGCCAGCACTGCAGTGAGAGAGGTCACTCTGGGTGTGCCTCAGAGAGAGGACAGGATGCTCCTCTTCTCCCATGAGAGAGGCTTTGCAAGGTTTTGACTCGGAGGGGGAGTCAATGGCTAACCCTTGTTCCCCAGAATGTCCCAGAGCTACCTGAATGGGATTTTGAAAGTGTTCAGGACTCACAGCCAGGACTCAGTTATGACCCACACACCATTCATTCACAGGGGTTGCTGAGAGGTCTCTGTCCCTCCTCCCCTGAGCTCCTCCTGTTTTGCAAGTGCTACCTTTCTTTCATTTTTCATCAGGACACTGCTGTATCCTGGCAGATGGGCATTCATCACCCAGCCAGGGCAGTCTGAGATGTGAACAGCCTTTTGCTGACAGTGGAACCAAGTGAGGACTGTTACCTGATTTACCAATATCCCATGTGTTTCCTGTTTTCAGATCAGCATCTTCATGACCCACCTGTCCAACTATGGGAATGACCGTCTGGGACTGTACACTTTTGAGAGCCTGGTCAAGTTTGTGCAGTGCTGGACCAACCTTCGCCTGCAAACACTGCCCCCTGTCCAACTTGCCAAAAAGTACTTTGAAATCTTTCCCCAGGAGAAGAATCCCTTGTGGCAGGTGAGAAGGCAGCTTTAATTGCTCCTGGTGGTTTTCCAGGAGGTATGTCCCACATTTCAACGTGGCGAGACTGCTGATCCAGAGCACACAGCGGGGTAATGCGTAAAGCTTTTAGGTTTAACCTCTGTGGTTTGAGGCTGCAGATGGCAAATTGCATGGTAGAAGGGATGGGGAGTAGGAGCAGTAGCACACAGTCACGATGTGTGCTTAGGGACAGGCATGGCTGTCATAAGTGACGGGGGGGGGCAGGTTTGCAGGCATTTGGGTCATTAAGGGCTTATATTGGAGCCAGCTGCTGTGAAATGTTAAGTGTGCAAGGAAGGACCCTGTTTGGTGCTGGAGGAGCTTTCAGGTATGTTAATGTGATTAATCTTAAAGTAATTTCACACTGCAGGATTCATGTTCATTAAATAAAAACATGCTTATTCCATTTTATCCCAGTGCAGCAGCTCTCTGCATGGTAATGAGCAGATGAAATTAACTGAAGGTGATAGAGTTGTCTGTCTGCCAGCAGTTCACAGATGCTGAGCTGTACTATCACGGTGACCCAGCCCAGCGTGGCTACACAGAGCAAGGCCTGTGGTTAACACTCTCAGAGAGGCTTTGGCTCCCATGTCACTTCAGAGCTTTTGAAAACAGTCCCCCGTGCTTTTACTTAAGTCTTCTGGATGCCTGGTAGAGCAGCAGTGTGGTTGTGAAGTGTTCTTCGTATGCTAATAGCATTTTCCCGAGAGGAAGACTTCCAGCCTTTCCTCCCCTGTCCATTAGCTCCTGTGGTAATGCTTAATCCCATCACTTGTGCTGCAGAATCCCTGTGATGATAAACGACACAAAGATATTTGGTCCAAGGAGAAAACATGCGATCGACTCCCCAAGTTCCTCATCGTGGGACCTCAGAAAACTGGTAATACTTTAAAAATAGATTGGAGCTTCCATCTCATTGCTCCAGAGAGGAGAGCTGGAAAGGTCTGTGTTGTCGAGCTGTATGGCTGCCCTTTGTGCAAGCTGCCAAATGGCCGCAGAGGACGTTTCAGAGAATCTGAGATTTGTTCTAACCTAAATCTGACAAGTCTGTCAGTGCTTTGCACCCTGGCACTTTGCTTGGCTCAGTCCTGATTTGCAGGGAAGAGCCCTACCTGCAGAGTTGTCTTTTGGCTTTTCCACGTAAGCTCAGAGAAATTGTGACCTTTCCTAGTGCGTGACAAACATCAGCTGTCAGCAGGGCTCACACACACTCTTAGCAAAGGTTATGATGAATGCCCCCTGGCACTCTTACTGCGACAGATCTGTGTCCCCACTGCATGCTCCATGTCACTGTCAGTGGGAGGCAGAGCTCCTCTTTTGTCTGACCTCTGTCACCACCTCTTAACTGCTGTGGCATTGTGGTTGGCAGTGACATGGCTGTATATATACTGTGCTGAGCAGTCCCTTCTGGTCTGAAGAGTGCAAAATCTCTTCAGCCAAAGCCAAGTCTTCAAACCTTGGCTTTCTCTGTAGTGCAGTGAAACAGCAGCTGCCAACCATGCACAACAAATGGTGATCCTGGCCTTGGGAGGAAGCTTGTCCCAGCCAAGCTGCTGTCTCCTGCCTGTGTCACTGTGAAGCTCTGTTGGTGTGTGTGCAGCACGAGCCCTCCTGCATCATGACCCAAGCTGCTTGCACTGGCACAGTGAGAAAACTCTTCTCTTGGCGGATTTATTGGCCTGCTGGAGGCCTACAGCTGTGTGCTGAGCAGGATTATCGAGTTTGGCTGGGCAAAGGGAACACATCTACAGCAGAGGCAGGCCAAGGCTGAATTCTCATCCAAGGACACTCATGTCCCTAGCACATCTCCTTCCCAAACTCGTGATACTGTCCTGCACTGCCCAGGCCACCTCCCATTAGGCAGCCATGGGTTCTGCCACATGACAGCGTGGCTGTGCCACCAAAGAAAAGGTGTGGGGGTAGCCGACACGGGTGACAGCTGTCCTGCTGAGGAGGTGACTTACATCAGGTGCATGAGCTGAAACGCGGGGGTGAACTGCTTAGTTAAGGACAATCCCAAAGCACTTGGTGTTTTGGCTGTTGTAACCTGCATGAGTTAAGGGGTGGGTTAGCCATGCGTGGTAGGAGTGTGCCCACCTGGGGACAGTTTTTTTGCAGTGTAGGTAAAGCCTTTCATTCAGCCAAGCATTGCGTGTGACCCAGGTCCTGTTAATTTGTTCCTGTTGCAGGCACAACTGCTGTGCACTTCTTCTTGACCATGCATCCAGCTGTCACCAGTAACTTCCCAAGTCCATCCACCTTCGAGGAGATCCAGTTTTTCAATGGACCCAACTACCATAAGGGAATCGATTGGTAAGAACCCCAGCACGTGTTCTTCTGGGTTAAGGTGTGCCCGTGTTGTCTTCTCCTGCGTCTCTCTGTATGTCCACCTCAGCCACCCGAGTAGCTTCTGTTTCTGAACAGCTGCTTTCACTGCTATTGCTCAGCACACGTTCCCTGTGACAAGTGGTGACTGTTTACCAGGAGACTTGTAGGCATGATTTAGCTTTAAAAATTCAGTCTTTATTGAATGCATTGCTGTCGTGAGGTTTCTTTTCCTTTGATGTGCAAAACAGACAACAGTGTGCTTATTAAAGAGTTCTTCATGGTTTCTGAGTTAAGACACATAGTGCAGAGGGAACAACAGAATCACAGAACATTAGGAGTTGGAAGAGACCTCGAAAGCTCATCCAGTCCAACCCCCCTGCCAGAGCAGGATCACCCAGACCAGGTCACACAGGAACACGTCCAGGCGGGTTTTGAATGTCTGCAGAGAAGGAGACTCCACAACCTCTCTGGGCAGCCTGGGCCATGCTCTGTCACCCTCACAGTGAAAAAGTTTTTCCTCATGTTCAGGTTGAACCTCCTATGCTCCAGCTTGGGACCATTGCCCCTTGTCCTGTCATTGGACATCACTGAGAAATCCCTGCTGTTGTACTGGGCCCTTTAGACTTGGAGCTGTCTGCAGTCCTTGCACTGGCTCCAGTGTCTGCATGGATAGCCTGATCTTCAGCTGTAAAAGTATGCAATTATGATAAAGTGTTTCCAGGGAGACTCTAGTGTCACTATGGTATTATCATGCCACTACCTTTCCAGACAGAGAAATTATAAAGGTGTTTCTTGCTCAAAGCATGAACTTTGGATCAACCATGGCAGCACACTCCTTCATGCATGGCTCTGAGGGATGGCTGTGTGGCAGTAAGCCATTCTGCCTTGGGATTTATTTGCCTGTGAGAGATTTTGTCTGACTTCTCTGATCATTTAGAGGATCATTGGAAAGGTATTGAAAGATGGTTGGTACTTGAGGAAAGCTAACGTGAGTCGAGCAGTTGCATCAGCTGACAGGCCTAGAAAGCGTAGGATTTCATGTGCATCCTCTGGAAAAGTCATCCAACCTGATTTGAGTGTAGTATCACATGCAAGAGGAGGATCTTTGTGTTTAGCATGGACTTTGTTCTACAGCTTGTATTTCAGCTGAGACCAAAGGTATTGAAAGATGGTTGGTACTTGAGGAAAGCTAACATGAGTCGAGCAGTTGCATCAGCTGACAGATAGGCCTAGAAAGCATAGCATTTCATGTGCATCCTCTGGAAAAGTCATCCAACCTGATTTGAGTGTAGTATCACATGCAAGAGGAGGATCTTTGCGTTTAGCATGGAATTTGTTCTACAGCTTGTATTTCAGCTGAGACCAGTCTTCCAGTGCTTTGCAGGGCTCTGTCCCACCATTACCCTCTACCCTACCATTACTTCAATGTCTTACAGTTTCCACATTACTAATTTGACACGCTCCCGTGAGGCAGAGCAAGAGCTCTTGTCCCTCTCAGCAATGGACTGAGGTACAAAGAGACAAATAAGATCGACAGGTTTAAACAAGTGGTCAGTGGCAGGGCAGGCAGCTGATTCAGGCCTTACTCTTGGACAAAAACCTCTTTTCTGCTAGAGCTTGCAGCTACTACCTTACCCCCAGGCTTTTCCTTCCACTGCCTGAGGACTTGAGGAACACACTCGCAGCAAAATACCTTCTTACCCTTTTGTCTTCTGCTTTCTATGTTGTGCTCCACCACCCCTTCCCAAGTCACACCTCTGCCAGCTCTGCACCAGTTTGCCCATTCACTGCATTACTGGGGAGGTGTGGTTCTGCAGACTGTGTCTGTTCAAGATGAGCAAGGGCATCATTTTGTTGTGTTGCTGTGTGCCCTTTGTCTGCCATGCTGCTCACCAGCGTCCCATCTGTTTGGCAGGTACATGGAGTTCTTTCCCATCCCCTCCAACGCCAGCACAGACTTCATGTTTGAGAAGAGTGCCAATTACTTTGACACAGAGGTGGTACCAAAACGTGGCGCAGCCCTGCTGCCTCGAGCCAAAATCATTACTGTTCTGATCAACCCTGCTGACCGAGCCTATTCGTGGTACCAGGTAACTTCCCTACCCTGGTCTGTGGGTGAGGGCCAGAGATGTTCCAGTGGGGCGAGGCAGAAAGCTGTGGCTCCATGTCCACAGAGGGCCAGGGGAGATGGTGCAGGCTGCCTGCAGAGTGGACAGTTACGTACACAGGCATTGGTGGGCTCTTGTGCTGAGTCAGGAGGGTCTGCACAGAGATGTGTACAGTGGAATTGCGTGTTCCTGCTCCTAAACTCAGCTTGTTTTTCAGCACCAGCGTGCTCACAATGACCCCGTGGCTCTCAATTATACCTTCTACCAAGTGATCTCTGCGAAATCCCAGGCCCCTCAGGAACTGCGCAACCTGCAAAGCCGATGCCTGCTCCCTGGCTGGTATTCAACTCACCTGGAGCGCTGGCTAACCTACTACCCCTCTGGGCAGGTACGTTTGGCAGTAGAGGCTCTCTTGAGCCCCCTGTAGGTTTAGTGGAGAGGAAAGGAGAAGAAACTGTAACGTGTGCTGCTGCCCCCAGTGTTTTCACTTCACCCTTTGTCTTGTCTTTTGGAACAAGAGCTACCGCTTGCTTCTTCCTATTATGAGCTGATAAGAAATCAGGCTTGAATACTCCAAATTTAGCACTTTATTGTATTTGTAAAAGTAAATGAGTGCAGGCGGATGCTGCAATTTCCCAGAGAGCCTCACAGTATTGAGAAGTTCAGCAAGAGCAGCACTGTTAGCACTCCTGTCCTTTCATCCTGGCAGCCTGCAGCCCAGGGACCCTCTTCAGGCCAATAGGTGTTCAGCTACTTGCTGTGGTTTCATTGCTTTAAAGAGAGGCTCCTGGACTCTGCCACGTGTTAGTTCCTATTTTGTGAAGCCTTTAGCTGGCTGCTGAAGGGAAATTTCACCGCAGAGCTGTCAAGATTCTGTGTTTTGTGTATAAATTTGCAAACAGTCTATTACTAGGCAATATAGACCATTACTGTCTCTAAATTCCCAAGAAATTTATAAATTGTTTAATACAATGTCAGCCAGGATTTGTTTTTTAAAGTTCCTTTCTACTGCTGGGGTTATCCTCAGACAGTCTATACTCCAGCAGAGTCTTATAATGCCCATTTAGTCTCTCATTCTCTGCCAAAGCATGTACATGATAGATCTGCTAAGACTAGGAGACAGGGGAAAACATTCCTGGGCTTGTATCTCATTGCCTTGTCATTCCTGAGGTTACTGCTGTGAGGAATGCTAGAGCCAGACACACTGTCCTTGTACTTACTATGGGTCAGTCTCCTACCTTCCCCAGACTTCAGTTCATGGGACTATTTTTCTGTTCTCTTCTTTGAAATAAATAGGTAACACAAATGTTGTTCATTATTGTCTACCATACACGTAACGGGAGAGTAATCACAGGTTACAGAAGAGGACTTAGCACAGTGACTGCTGACATCAGAATAATACACGAGGTTTCCAGAGACAGTCTGTAAATCATGCTACTGCTGGGCCTAAGTGCTCAGTTACAGGGAGTTTGGCCAAAGGCAAGTTTGTTAAGCAAAGCCTGTCATGACCTACTGTTCTGTGGTACTTGTGGCCCGTATCATAACTTCTCTGGGGCACATCCCCCCCACTGCTGCTCCAGAATAAACAGGTTTGGGCAGCCTTTACTTGCTGGCACAAAGGCCAGGGGAAGTTCTGAGAGCCAGGAAGCTCACGGGTGTCATTCAGCAGAAGCTGTCAGAGGCTGAAGTGGCTGCTGTTTTTTCAGCTTCTCATTGTGGATGGCCAGGAGCTGAGACACAACCCTGCCTCTGTAATGGACAACATCCAGAAGTTTTTGGGAGTTACGCCACTCTTCAACTACACCCAGGCTCTCAGGTAGGGAAATTGGTTTGGGGAGGATGCTTTCTTAGCCAAGTGTGAAACTAATAAGCACTTGACTGGAAGAATACTTATCTCTGACTACAAGACCTGCCAAGGTTTCAGAGGAATGCCTTACCCTAAGATTAGGTTTGGATAGCATGAGATGCTATGCTGAGACTAGAATCATAGCTTAGCCTTTCCAGAAACAATAGGAGAAGAGGTGGGGGTCTTTTGGCACTGTCATGGAGAAGCATGAAGTTGCTCACAGCAGTAATTAGGATGTTTCCATTTGGTCTTTGTGGACTTATTAGCACTCCTTATGCTTGGTGTTCTACCTGTATCTGACAGAAAGGAGAGGAAGTATGATAAAAAATGTGTGACAAGCTGCTCATACTTTCAACTAGATGGAGATTAGGGACATATTGCACAGCTTTGAGGTAAAGAGCCTATTATTACAGAAGACGTGGACTTGACAGGCGCCCAGAGTTACCTGAGGAAGCGTTAGCAGAGGCACTGCCTCACAGCTACTAAGTTGAAGGATGTTACTTAGCCATTACTGTCATCTTGCCCACAGTGCAGTCAATCTGAATAGATTAAGTGCCAGTTGAAGGTGAACAGTGGCCATAGGAGTCTTTAGTGGAAACTCTGCAAGCCCACTGGAGATCCTGAATATTCTTTGCAGCTGAAACCTGTGGTTTTCCATCTGCTGTGCTATCGCAGCCCAAGCTAGCTGAGGCCAGTGGGTGGTGTGTGTAGGCATACAGCAATTGCCCTTTCCTTTACCAGTAAAGAAAGACGACCCAATTCAGTTCTTCTCCTACAGTTGTTTTCCAAAGGGGTGGCTCATGGCTCCCCTGGGGAGGGCAGATTTAGAGAAATGTCAGATTACTGGAAAGCCTTACTTGCTGAAGCACATCTGGTGATGGCAAATGGGCTGTTGGCATTGGTAGTACTGGCTGGGACACTTCAGCTGGGATCAGAAAAGAAATTACATTGGTCAGCTTCCTCAGAGTTTGGCAGAGGTACTTGCTGAGAGCTCCAGCTCACCTCTGGCCAATTGAGAGGACAGGACAGACCAAACCCAGACATTGTTCCCAGCACTGCCTGATACCTGTGTTTTAGCAAGAAAAGAAACATGGACTCTTTAAATGAGTCAGGGGATTCTCTAATATTTCTTGGCTAAAATGAGAAGTTTCAAAAGAATTTACATACACTAAAGCATTCATTAACATCCCCCTCCCAGGGCAGAACAGATAAATACTGTAACACCATGTTACCTCTGACATTTACATAAAGCTGAAACAGTCGTGGTTGTAAAGGGTGTCTTGTCAAAGTAGTCAAGTGTTAAAAAAAGAAAGAAACCAATACCACAAATCAATAAATAAATAAAACCCAAACCAAATTTGTAAAGCATTGAAATGGGAAGCACCTATGGAGTCACTTATTTTTTGCTGCTGCTCATTGGGCATGTGGCCATATCTTTTAAAGATATGTGTCCTTTTCAGATTTGATGAAGCAAAAGGATTTTGGTGCCAGCTGCTAGATGGAGGGAAGACTAAATGCCTAGGAAAGAGTAAAGGAAGAAAATACCCTGATATGGATTCCTCGGTGAGTAACTGTCTCAAATCTGTTGGCAGCAAGAGATGTAGAAACATCCCAGCAACCCAGCCTGCATTTTCCTAGCTCCTGTGTCCTAGATGACTGTGGAACGCATGCTGAGGGTAACATCTTCTTTCACGCTAATGTGGTCTGTATTTCCCACACAGTCACGGCTGTTCCTAAGAGACTTCTACCGGGAGCACAACATTGAATTATCCAAGCTGATGAACAGACTTGGGCAGCCCCTTCCGACCTGGCTCCGAGAGGAACTGCAGAACTCCAGCTGGAGCTGAGAGGGACTCCCCTGCCCCCAGTGCCATTGGGATGTGCGGTGCTCCGTGTGCTATGATGCCATCTCTTGCCAAGCCAAAACAACTGGACAGATGAGCAAGAGTAGAGAATGTGCCCGTGGAGCCTTTCCCCACCATCAGGAAGGGCTGCCCTTCCTGATGTGCAAGTCACATTCTTAATGGTGTGTTACACTTTGACTTTTACTTACAGGAAGGATTTGGGATGCCTGCCCTACTCTGAGCAGGGGAGAGAGCACGGTTAACACTTTATGTTTAAATTACTCTTCTCAGTATATGAAACAGGCCCTAGCTGGAGGGTTAATGTGTTACTCCTCTGAGTCCAGAAGTAAAGACTTAATAGGTGAGCTATCAAGCCCACTGCTGAGAAAAGAGCAGCAGCCTAATAAAAGGGGAGTCTAGTCCAGTGAACCCCAGCTTTTATCCAGTAGTCTGTTTGGCAGCAGCAACGTACATGAGTGCCCTGTTCCTCCCCTGGCAGAGAACAGTGGCCATGAGCATTACTCACAGTGCCACTGTGTGTGGCTGTTGGGGACTGCACCTTCCTGGAGACAGATGTAACAGACCCGAGACTGCCGCTCCTTGGCTGCAGTACTGCTGGTGTGATACAGCATCCAGCGTCAGCAGGCAGGGGAAGAGAACAAGCTGCAGCTATTGACACACACAGCTGATTTGTTACCTTAGGGTGCAAGTATTTCTCTGCAGGGACTTCTTTATTTCAAAAGATAAGCAAGGAGCACTAAGTCCCCTTAGTGCAGCACAGCAGCTGGGGGAGGCAAAAGTCAGGTATTGTGAAAATGAGGCTGATGCAGCAGAAAGCAGACAATTCAGGTTTAAAAAAAAAAAAAAAAAAGCAACATTTTCTTTGCAGCAGCTCCAGGGCCACTGCCACATGTGCTGATAGCTGGCACCTGTTTTAATCCCCATGCAGTCCAACAAACCAAGAAGAAAAGCGAAAACCAGTTAAAAGTAAGTATCATTCAGCTGTAAAGGGAAGGCTTGGAGTTGGAAGTGGTGTCCTATGTCCAAACGGGGCTGTTAAGTTTACTAGTTCTGCACAGAGAAGTTAGTACACCGAGGTGCATTGCCGCCTCCTGCAGCTGCTGGATAATTATTCTGAGAGGAAATCCTCCGTCACGGTCAAACGTGTTTGCTGTTGCCAAGCCACGGGATTCTGGAGTTGTGTGGGCCATCGTCCCTCCCTCCCAGGCACAGATGGGCCTTGGTGACTGCTGCAGTTCAAAGAACGGAGGGGCAGGATCCATAAGAACAGAGATTACGGAAACTTCCACAACTCATGAGCTCCTTTTCGTCCTATCAGGGGAGAGAAGTTGCTTCAAACGAGCTTTTCCATTGAGCCTTAGGTATTGTGTATTTCTGAATGAATGGTGCATTTACCGTTGTATGTAAATGTATATAGTATGCGATATAGTATTTTATTTCATGTGCCCTTGGAAAGGGTTATTTTGTGCAGCCAAAAACAGGACAGAAAGACTAGAAACCCCTCTCTCACTCCTGTTAGAGAGAAGAGACTGACTTCCTGCACTGGATTCATGTATAGCATCATTCACATTGAATGATAATGAAGAAATTCTTGGCTCTTGAAGCTGAGCACAAGTGTCTGAATAAAGGCTAGAAGTAGTAGTAAGTTGGAGATTCAATAAATGTACTACTTATTTTTCTTCTTTGTGATGATTTGGAGTGATGTCATGGACCCTAAGCTGGTAGAAGGGTAAGAAAAACTGAAAAGCCTGCTCCAGGCCTTACAGCTGATACATGGGAGGGCAACGAAGGCATTTAACTTACGTTTGGGGAAACACAGAAATGGTGTCCCAAGGCATCTTTCTCTGCAAGTGCAGCTGTAGGCCTGCAGCAGCTGGCACAGCACACAACCTGTAGTTATGTCATTCTTACTGGTTTGCACTGGCAATGGCTTCTGGGCCATCCCTGGCTGCTGCAGTGGTTTCCAGCTGCGATGCTGCAGCACAAGCTCTGCTGTGCACCGCCTGCCCAGGGTGCTCCGTCGCAGACCAACGGTAAGAAGCAACCTTAACCTGAGCTTGGAAGCAAAACGTTGCTTAAGTAGTCGCAGTTGTGACAGCGATGTAAAGCAGCCTTACAGCTCCCATTCCACCAACCGCTTCCCAAATAAACGCAGCAGCAGCAGAGCAGCTGTAGTGATGTGCTGCCAGAGGAGGAGGATCCCAGCACCAATGCTAAAGCCAGTTTCCTGCTCTTAATCCATCACAGGTTGTCGCACAATTACTTCATGCTTTACCTCAGACTGTGGCACATATTTGAGGAGATGGATTTAAGCATTAAAAATAAGGTACCAGGAGTAAATTTTGGGAGGGGCTCCCTAAATGTCAAGGTTACTGGTGGTAGTTCTTCACTCAAGGCAGCAAAGGGCAACTTTGTGTTCTCGGCATTTATTTTTTCCCTCCCCCCC